ATATTACACTTTTATATTATGTAGGGGTAGTCAGTGTAACATATGTACAAAATTAGGGGTGGTTCGTGTAAGGACAAAAAAGTGAGGGGTGGTTTATATAATTTCACTAAAATTCGGAGGGTGTGAGTGTAATTTACTCTAATTTTAGTGGTTAAATGATTTAAGAAATATTTTATTCTCTTCAATAATAATCATTAGGTAATCAATTAGGCAAAAATAGATGAAGGTGATGATGACTCATCATTGTCCATTTAAAACCCCAAATTGATACAATCCACGTTCATCTTTAGACAAAACTTAGGTAAAGTATCATAGGTGCTAGTGGGTGACCTATTAGATGATGACATGTGAACCTTTTTTTTACTTTCAAATAAAGAACATTTATTATATTTACAATCAATTATTTTTTGACCTTGAAAGTAAATAAAAAGGTTCACGTGTCATCCTCTAATAAATCACTTGTACCACTAGCACATATGATACTTTACCTAAGTTTTGTCATACGAAAAAAGCTTTAGCGAAAAAATATATTTGAAGGGAAAGAATAAACTATAAATATCATATTAAAAAATTAAACCTAAATAATAAAATAAAAATACAAAAAATCTCCATATCTCCAAAATGATGCATTAAATTTATCCACACACAAGTTTTTGTGTGATTAGCCTTCTTAGGCATTGACTACTTCAATTGACCCTACAATTTTAACCCATATACTATGAATATTTCTCTAGATAACAAAGAAACTTCTACCTCAATTCCAACATTTATGTACATGAAAAAAGGCTACTCAACGGATCACTTGTCCCAAAATGGTGTCCCCAACTCTGTCCCGGTCAATAATATTGTATCACGTCATTTAAAAATCTACATCACTTTACAGTAAAAAAATATCTATTCATGTGACTTTTCATTTTCATTTTTATTATCTGATTGGTTGGGACAGGGTTAGAGATACTATTTTGGAGATATGATACCCATCCGTCAAAGGGCATGTTGTTTTCCTTAGGTTTCTAATGTCTGGTCCAAGATTTCCTTCTACCATTAAAACAACTATAAAAGAACGTGTGCATGCCATTTCTCTCTACAATTCATTCATCATCAACCCAACAATTCTTCTCTTATATTCTTAGAAACCAAGAGATTCCACATATATATTTGTATACTAACATCAATACAAAACTTAGAATAAATTAATGGAGAGCAACTTAAGTGACATGTTGATTAAGGTAGCTATGTTCATCCTAGTCCAAGCTTTAGTGTACCTTATCCTTTACAATTCATCAAACATATTCTCCAAGAACATTAAGAGATCCAACAGCTTCAAGCCTGCAAGATCCTTAAGTATTCGAAGGATGCTTTCTTTCATCTCTGATTTTCCATCTGAAGGGGAACCCTCTCCTTTCTCAAAAGTTCCTCCTTCACCAATCCTTAAAAGGACAATTCTGAACGACGACACGTGAGAACAATGCACTATTGTGATAAAGAAGAACAATTAGTTAAAGGAACCTAAATTATTGGTAGGGTGGTAATGAATTATTTTCATATGTTATTTTGTGTTATAAATGGTGTAATATATATATTTGTGAATTTAATATTGAGATTCATTTATTTTTTTTTACCTTTTCTTTGTACATTGATGATGAAGTTCAATCAAGAACTCGATTGTTGTGGGTCATATATTTGCTTATTGTTAGATTATTTGACTTGCAATATTGATATGAATGGTAAATTGTTATAAGTATTTTCCAATACTTAAAGGGTGATATAATAAATTTAATATTTAGGAGTAAGTCCAACTCTCTTGGGATTTTCATGTATCTGAAAGTGGCCTGGTAAGATTTTAACAAAAGGTTAAATAATCTGTCAAACAATAGTGAAAAGGAAAATAGAAATTAGATGTTTTAAGATAAGAAGAAAATGAGTGAATGAAAACAACACAATAAATAAAGAGAAAAAAAGATGTATACATAGTATAAGAGTTTTTTTACACTGTATCGTCATTTTTAATCATAAACGACTTTAAAAAAAAAAGTAATACAATTGAATGATAGATGATATACCCACTATACATGAATCTTTACACTCAGTACATATGTAGTATGCTCATAAATAAAATGGAAGGTGTGGTAAGTGTATCAAAGTAAATAAAATGGGAAATAAAATGGAAGATGTGGTAAGTGTATCAAAGTAAATAAAATGGGATGATAATAACATGTCCCAAAATGGTGTTATCAACTCTATCTCAGTCAATAACATTATGTCACGTCATTTAAAAATCTACATCACTCCTCACAAAAAAAATATATTTATTCATATGATTTTTCATTTTCATTCTCTGATTGGCTGTGACATAGTTGAGAACACCATTTTATGAAAGTAAATAAAATGGGAGTGGATTGGGGAAAGGACTTGTATCTAATATATGGGATAAGGAATGCTTATTAAGCATACTTTTGGGATGTGATTCCAAGGAAATGTAATGCCTAATTAACCTACATTCTCTTGTTTGATCCATTTTTATTCATAATAAACATTACTAGAAAACTAATTATTTTTCAAAATTACAATTGACTAAAAAACAAGAAGGTAGAAAAAGGATACACAAGTCATTTTACTTTTAAATAGAGACATTTCTATGAAAAACCAGCATTCCCATCAATGGGAATCTAATATTCCATTCTCACATCCTTCACATTTTAAGATTTTTAGAATGTTACTTTCTTGAATATTTTTTTCCAAACCTTTTTACAAATATAGAATCTCAAATTTTCAAATGAGATTCCCAAAAATACTCTTTCTACCAAGTGCTAAGATAAAGAAAAGAAACTAAAAAAATTTAAAAGAAATACCAATGCCACCAAATATGGAAAGAAGTTTGAATAACTAACCTATTTATAAATTGTTCCAGTTTTTAGGTTTGATCTCCTACCATACATGAGATTCCAAAAAAATATGAATAACTAACCTATTTATTAACTATTCGAGTTTTGTTTGCTTTATATTAAGATTTCATATTATTTATGCATTATCGGTATAAGGATTTATATACACTTAGTTTAATATCCACCATTCATCTGTATTATTTTTTGAGGAGTCAATAATGATTAAACATGAATAATATATGATATGATGATAGTATATAAAACTCATACATAATCGGTCATTTATTTTTCTTTCTTATATGGTATACCTAACAAAGCTACAATGTATCTATATGACACAAAGCAATAATGCAAACTCTCTGTTAGACATTTATGGGACGGCAAGCAAACCGTTGCGTACAAGTAATACAATCCGGTAAATTACCGGGATATCGTCCTCAGGGAGCGGAGTGGACTTACACTAATTCCTGTAACAATCAATTGAGCAACTATATACAAGATTTGTTTGATAAAATTACATTGGTTTTCTAGAAATAATAGAATTGAAATAACGATTGATTGAAGATACTAAAATAAAAGGGTCGGTATCGAAACTCATCATTCTTTCTCTTTTTACATCCATGGATTCAATTCCTAATAACTTGTGAAGTTACTGATTTTGATGCACATTTTTCATAAATCAATTACATCAATCCCTTGACTGTAACATTCTTAGGTAATCACTCGGTTCCCAATTCCTTGGATAATCGGATGATTAACTATCATTAAAATCAAATATAAAAGCTATTCCCACATC